ATACATTAAAGTAACTACAAAATTCTATTTTCTATCAGAAAAAATGCTGATGTCGAAAATCTGAGCATTTTTCACAAATATTGATAACTGACAGATAAAAAACATTATTGTAATAGATACTAAACATTCATTCCCTCCTTTCAGTGTCTAAAATGATTCGAATAAAACCTACATAATATCTGATTATTACAAGTTGTTAGAACATAATATTGTGATTTTATTTTAATTTATTGTTATAGTGGACATCCAGAATGCCCAGGTAGAATAAGTGCAATTTTAAATATGTACAATGAGTTTCAATTGACAAATCGACTTTTAATTTTACCAGTATGAGCATATTTATTATTATTATTATTAATAATTGAATTTTATTTTATTGATAAAAATTTGATTTAATTTAGTCAAGAGAAGCTGAAGAAAGTGAATTACTTCTTGCCCATTCTAGAGAACATGTAGATGAAATGTCAAATTTACACAAATTGTCGCCATCAGAATTGAGTGAAAAAGAAAAATGTTATGATTCTGTATATTTGACTKCAGACACATATAAAGTTTCARCTTTGGCGTCTGGGTGTTTGTTGCAAGTATTATCATAAATTAATTATTGTTATTACAACTAGTWATGAAACAAATAACCAAACCCAATTGTTTTACTTACAGGTTGTTGATTCTGTAATGAGTAATGAAAGTGCATCAGGTGTGGCTGTAATTCGTCCTCCYGGTCATCACGCAGAACTTGATATCGCTTGTGGTTTTTGTATCTTTAATTCTGTTGCTATTGCTGCAAGTTATGCTTTAAATAAGTATGGTCTCAAAAGGTATGTCAAAAAAGGAGTTGTATTTAAGTTACATTATTTATTTATCACCATATCTGTATGTTAAATTAGAATTATGATTTTGGATTGGGACATACATTTTGGCAATGGCACAATGAGAGCGTTCAGTTCAGATCCAAGAGTTTTGTATATATCAATTCATCGTTACCAGAACGCAAAATTTTTCCCATGCTCTGAAGAAGGTTCGCATAAGGTGACAGGTTCAGGGAGTGGAGAAGGATATACCATTAATATACCATGGAATAAAGTAAGCATTGTTCTAGCTGAAAAGTTTGCTA